TTTCCTGCTTATGCAGGGGGTCGGACTCGATGATCTATTGAGGTCCCTTCCGACCCTAGCATCTATGAATCTATGAATCTATGAAGGTAGGGTGCAGGTAGAAAAATTGACACACTTGCAACTAACAAGAGAAGGACCACACTCAGTGTCTTTCTGGGAATCTTGAAGCAAGGAGAAAAGGATGGTTACTGTGTGTGGGAGTTCTCTGGACAGGGATGGGGAAGGGCATGCTTCCCAGTGCATGCATGGTGCTCTATCGATAGGCACATTATTAAACAAATCATGTTGGGATGATTGTTGAGTCAAAAAAGCTGAATAATTTTAAGGACAACAATAACATAGTTTATTGCTTTGCATACGTGGTTTCTCTCTTTTGAGGATTTCAAAATAATTAACAAAATTGATACTGTAACCTTACAAAAAACCTGTAATATAATGCATGTAAATGTTATCAAGCAGATTTTACAGCTGGGTAAACAGACTCAGAGAACTTGTGTGACTTGCCTGAGGCCAACACAAACAACTCCTTGGTAGGGATGGGAATAAAATATGGAAAAACTCCTAAGCCTCAGTTCCATGTTCTAACTACTGTATTGAATTATGTATTCCCTGTGTTCAAAAGGAAAGCCTCAATGCCCTTATACTTCCTTTCCCCCCAAAATAATACTCAGGTGTAGAAAAATAAGAGTAAAATACTATCTCAAGATGGAGAGGAAACCTCTTCTCCCCATCTTGAAAACCACTTGTTCAATTTAATCCAGGAAGATGACTCAAAAATCTGTTTCATCTCCAAAATTAGTAATGAAGATTCCTAATTGTTACTCCAAACAAGATTGTAACCCCCCCCAAAAAAAACAACCCCCCCAAGAAAAACAACCCATAAAACCACGTTTGTAAGTTGGAGTGAGAATGAGCAAGCTAGTTTTCAAACTATTCTTAGCTCATGCAGATACTCCTCATGTGTAATGTTCTTATTCATGTACATAGATTCAGTGAAACCAAATAATTAAATAAGACATATTATATAAAACAGTACTATATAAAACAGTAAAAAAAAATTAAAATAAAAAAAAATATATATACAGTATAAATATAAATTACAGGGACAATAAAAATGTTTGCTCCATTAAAAGGTAATTAAATTAGCTAGCTTTTAATTTAATTTACATCTATGGTTCAAGAAGATCCATAGATGACTTGATATTAGCATTGTCACAGAGCACTGAGGTGCCCTGTTCCTAGAGGGCAGAAACTGCCAGAGGAAAAGCTCTGGCAGTGCATAAAGAGCCCTAGCAGGGAATAGGAGCCCACCTGTGGGTTGCCAGGGCAACTGGAGGGAGCAAATGGCCCAC